TGAGAAGATGGGATCCCTTGCGTATAGTGTCCGAAGAGAGAAAGAGGAGATGGCCAATGACAGGACCCTCCTAAGTATCTGAGTGGAATAAGCAGGGGTAGAAAGTGAGGACGCCACAAACGATCTCAAAGAATCTCCATGTTGAAGAATTTGGGGCTGGGCGTGATGGCGCACGCCTGTAATGCCAACACTTTGGGAGGCCAAGGCAGTTGACTCACTTGAGGTCAGGAGTTCGAGACCAGCCTGGCCAACATGGTGAAACCCTGTCTCTACTGAAAATGCAAAAATTAGCCAGGCATGGTGGTGTGCACCTGTAATCCCAGCTACTCGGGAGGCTGAGGCAGGAGAATCGCTGGAACCCGGGAGGCAGAGCTGCAGTGAGCTGAGATTGCGTCACTGCACTCCTGCCTAGGTGACAGAGCAAGAAACTCTCAAAAAAACAAAAAAAAGGCTGGGCCAGTAGCTGTGAAGGGCATAATGGAAGAGGCAGCTAAGGACAATTTATAAGATTATAGTCACATTGAGGACTATGACAACGTACATGATCATATGTTATAGTTTTGTTTCTTAGCAGTAGCGGCTGTCTGGGTTTGGGGCATGACAGGTACATTATAGGATTCAGGGTGAGGTTTTGTGATGAATTGGATATGGTGGCAAAGCTGGTGGTGAGTATTGGGAGGATATCATTTGTAAGTGATACATGTGGTTGAAGTTCCCAAATTTTAATGTGTATGTAGGAATCATACCTACAAATTTTGATTCTGTAGGTCTGGCATGGGATCAAAAATTCTGCATCTTTTTTTTTTTTTTTTTTTTTTTCGAGACAGAGTCTCGCTCTGTTGCCCAGGCTGGAGTGCAGTGGCCGGATCTCAGCTCACTGCAAGCTCTGCCTCCCGGGTTCACGCCATTCTCCTGCCTCAGCCTCCCAAGCAGCTGGGACTACAGGCGCCCGCCACCTCGCCCGGCTAGTCTTTTTGTATTTTTTAGTAGAGACGGGGTTTCACTGGGTTAGCCAGGATGGTCTTGATCTCCTGACCTCGTGATCCGCCCGCCTCGGCCTCCCAAAGTGCTGAAATTACAGGCTTGAGCCACCACATCTGGCCTAAATTCTGCATCTTTACTATAAACTCTCAGGTGATGCTGATACTAGCTGTTCATGGACCACAGTTTGAATAGTGATGGTCTAGACTACATATGGGGAATTGCATTAGTCAGTTTCCATGCTGCTGATAAAGATATACCCAAGACTGGGCAATTTACAAAAGAAAGAGGTTTATTGGACTTACAGTTCCACATAGCTGGGGAGGCCTCACAATCATGACGGAAGGCAAGGAGGAGCAAGTCACTCTTACGTGGATGGCAGCAGGCAAAGCAAGAGCATGTGCAGGGAAACTCCCTCTTATGAAACCATCAGATCTTGTGAGGCTTATTCATTATCAAGAATAAGCATGGGGAAGACCTGCTCCCATGATTCAGTTACCTCCCAACAGGTCCCCCCCCCCACATGTGGGAATTATGGGAGCTACAACTGAAGATGAGATTTAGGTGGGGACACAGCCAAACCATATCAGGAATGAAGCCAGAAGTCTTCATAAGCAAGGAGAATATGAGCATTGGAGATCCTGTTAGGTTAAAGAGTACAGAATAGGTGAGATGAGAGTTGAATAAATAGAAGACTTGTAGACTAAGACTAAAAATAAGATTTATGTCCCTTGAGCTTAGGACTTTGAGACCAACCTGGGCAATATGCTGAAACCCCGTCTCTACAAAAAATTAATTTAGCAGGTCATGGTGGTGTGCACCTGTAGTCCCAGCTATTCCAGAGGCTGAGGCGGGAGGATCACTGAGCCCAGGAGGCAGAGGTTGCATTGAGCCGAGATCACACCACTGCACTACAGCCTGCGTGATAGAGTGAGACCCTGTCTCAAAAAGGATTTTATGAAGTTGAAGGATCACTTGAGCCCAGGAGGCAGAGGTTGCATTGAGCCGATATCATACCACTGCACTCCAGTCTGGGTGACAGAGTGAGACCCTGTCTCAAAAAAAATTTTATGAAGTTGAACAATTCTGAGTGATGACAAGCCTAGACTTTAGTCCTGGTTGTGGCTGGCTAAAATGGAATGGCATTTAAAGTCCTGTGAGGATCATAGATGGACGGAGAAGTACTAAGTTCTTCAGTGAATATGGAGGCACAGATTGGGAAGCTGAGTATAGAGACAGTACTACTGAAGGGCAGTGATGCATGTTACGAACTTTTTACATGAGAACATAAATAGTTGTCTGAAAAGTGGCTCCTGGCCCAGAGAATGCCTGTTCCTATTGCCAGCCCTATGGCATATGGAGTCCTGAAAGAATAAGCAAACTGCACTCTCTAGTGGGGAAAGTGAACACTTGAGAGGTTGAATGTGCTTCTCACCAACTCCCTTGGGGACATTTAAAGATGTAAGGGGTAATTTTTGGCACAATCTAAAATGCTGTCCTGTTCCTGTTCAGGGCTTGTCTTTTAAACAGGGTATTCAGGGTTGTTAATAGCTAGGGTTGTTAAGGTATTCTGGAATTATCCTCAGGCTTCTAAAGAAACTGGCAAGTTGAATTAACTTATTTGGTATCTGAGCCAGGTAACTGCATCAAGTGGCCTATGGCTTACGGCTTTTCTAGCAGGGGAATGATGGTAAATTTATAAAACCAGAAGTGTCTCAGGCTGAGAGGTATGGAGAAGACTAGACTCAGGCGTGATTTCTGCACTCTCAAAGTAATGGTTAAAGACCCTTTGCATGGTGTAAACTTGCCTTGCCAATGACATCTGTGTAAACGGAACTAGAACTAACTTTTGGATTCTACTCATTTTTAAAGAATGTTGCAGAAGAAAATACAAGGGTACTGTATTCCTTATATGGAGTTGTTGAACACAGTGGTACTATGAGATCGGGGCATTACACTGCCTATGCCAAGGCAAGAACTGCAAATAGTCATCTCTCTAATCTTGTTCTTCACGGTGATATTCCACAAGGTAAGATGTCTTGGAAAATTCAGGCACTCAGCACATTATGGCAAAACCAAAAAGTAACCAACTTGAATCTTTCCATTTATGTTTGATTTTTCATCTCCTCTTGACAGATTTTGAAATGGAATCAAAAGGGCAGTGGTTTCACATCAGCGACACACATGTGCAAGCTGTGCCTACAACTAAAGTACTAAACTCACAAGCATACCTCCTATTTTATGAGAGAATACTGTAATAGTATCAAAAGTACTTTTTCTGGAAACACGTTTATGGCTTTTATAATGGCTGAAATAACAATAAAAAAGTAAAGACTAATTAAAATCATGTTCACTTAACATTAAATACATGCCAGAAGAAATCATGTTTATTTAAATATTGAAGGGAAAAATACCTAAAAATTTACAAAGGTTTTGTATTGTCATGGTGGTTTTAATTCCTGCTTTGTTTCTGGAAAGCAAATCCTGAATTACTTAAGTCCTCTGTGTTTAATGTCTGGGTGATGGATCACAACACATCAATAAACTGACTTACCTAAAATCTTGTTTTATTACTGAGGAGATTTTAACTTCTACTGACTCACTCTACTAGGTAACACTTTAAAAAATGTTTCATCAGATGGGCTAATGAAGCTTCATTACAAGTCTGTTCATTTTATAAGAATCTATACTGACAGCAGAATATAAATGGGAGGAATGTTTCTTTGTAATCCTGATGCCAGTGTGCATAAGCTGGGGTACATAAGGCCTTACTCTGTATTTGCTCTGTGCCAGTGGTCAGCTGATCTGGGACAGATGTAAGACAAACTAGTCTCACTCCTATGAGTATAATTGGGTACCAAACCCCTTAATACCAGCATACCAGAGAAAGCCTGCGAACTGTCCCAAGTCAGCCAGTGTTTGAGTTACATGCAATGCAAACAGCTTAGGGACACCAAGCCTCTCTTAACTTCTTGAAAGGTTCTATATGAGGATGACTTCGACATACAATGAACACTTCTAACCTGCTGTGGCAGTAATGAGAGTTGTATCATTCCTAGCACCTGTTGAGTTTATGTAAGACCCAGTCAGTCATATTGCTTCTAAAATCTCTTGAAAAGAATACTAAAAACAGGCTGGCATGGTGGCTTATGCTTGTAATAGCACTCTGGGAGGTCAAGGCAGTAGAAACCTGGAGCTGGGAGTTTGAGACCAGCCTGGGTAACACACACAGTGAGACCCTTTTCAGGAGGCTGAGATGGGTGGATTGCCTGAGCCCAAGAGCGGAGGTTGCAGTCAGCTGAGCTTTCACCACTGCACTCCAGCCTGTGTGACAGAGCAACACCCTGTCTCAAGGAAAAATACATACACACACAATTTCAAACAGTATTGAGGACCTTATATAACCAACATGTATAGTAGCACATGTCCTATAAAATTCAGTATAATTATTTATAATAATTTATTTATAATGTTCTTGGCTTTTTCAACACTCCTTACTGATTGTAACAAAATAGGATCTGCTTTATGAAAACTGACTTAATTTTGTACATGTCAGGAGATCTATTTTCAGTTATAAGCATTTTTTGGTACTTTGCTAAGTAGACTGTCTTCCATTCAACAAATTATTAATTGCTATTGAAACAAGTCACCTTGAGTAAGGCATTCCAGAGCTGTGACAAAAACACTCTGGAAATCTAGTCCAGGTGTTGACAGACCTTTCCTGTAGAGGGCCAGATAGTAAATATTTTAGGCTTTGTAGGCCCGTTTGGTCTCTGTTAAAAATACTTAACTCTGCCACTCCCTTGTTAGAAAGTAACTGCAGACAATATGTAATGGTATGAGCATGGCTGTTTTCCAATAACTTACTTACACAGGCAGTGGACCAGATATACATGGGTAATAGGCCTCTACTTATTTATAAGTGACTTGCCTTAAGTCCCACAGCTGATGTGATTAACAAGGTTGAGAGGAACACAAGTCATTTAGAGCCAATAACGGTGGTCATTAGACAATAAGGCTTTGACAGTAACAATATGTTTATTATAACATCCAGCCAAGAATACAAACACAAAATACCTCTTAATTTAAGGAGAATAAGAAAACATCAGGCGATTCTTAGAGTACTACTACAAATACAGCCTTCACCTACAGTAAAAATTAAGCCAATTTCAATCATTTTGGTCATCATCCCAGTCTTTCTTCCCACTTGGAGGCTTGGGCCCACCAGCTGGTTTTGCCATGATGATCTGCATAAAAAAGAATCACACAAAAGTATGCTTATAAACTCAACCTTTAGAATGAAAAGAATGCTTCTACTAGCATGATTTAAGATTAAGCAGTCTTCTTGATATAATTATGTACTGCATATAAAACACTACAGCAGTTTGCTAGCTCCCTTGTTAGAAATTCAATTGTAAACTTTCAGCAGCATGAGGTTTACTGCTTTTGTGGATAACTGCAACAAGATCCACACAGATTAGTGAATATTCCAAGACATGCACTTCAATAACTCAAAAAGCTGAAAGTGAAAATATGTGCATGCATCACTAGTATAAGTCGGTCAGTCAGTTTGGCACCTGATTTGCTATTTATATGTGAGATTCATCTTGCCAACCATCTCTGTCCCAATTTCCTTGCGGTTTAGGAGCTTTAGGTCCACCTGCCAGCTTTGTCATTATAATCTAAAGTAGTTGATACATAAATATAAACAAAGTTTAACACTGAAATTTTCTAAAACCTGTAAATGAGAACCATTCAAGCATCCAGTTTTCATAAACAAAAATCTAAGCCCTTAGTTCCCAACTTTAAAAAAAGTGCCACAAACCTCACCTTACTTTATCTAAAATAAATGGGGTTTTTTTTTTTGAGACAGAGTCTTGCTCTGTTGCCCAAGCTAGAGAGTGCAGTGGCGCAATCTCACCTCAGTGCAACCTCTGCCTCCTGGGTTCAAGCAATTCTCCTGCCTCAGCCTCCCAAGTAACTGAGATTACAGGTGCCTGCCACCATGCCCGGCTAATTTTTTATTTTTAATACAGATGGGGTTTCACCATGTTGGACCGGCTGGTCTCAAACTCCTGCATGATCCACCCGCCTTGGCCTCCCAAAGTATTGGGATTACAGGCCTGAGCCACTGTGCTCGGCCAGAAAACATCTTAATTACCATCTGCAAACATAAGCTGTGCACAGTGGCTCAGGCCTGTAATCCTAACACTTTGGGAGGCCAAGGTTTGAGGCCAGGAGTTTGAGACCAGCCTCGGCAACAAAGAGACCTAGTCTACAAAAACTAAAAATATATATATAAAATATATACACATATATAATCAGCCAACCGTGACAGCACCTGCCTACAGTCCCAGCTATTCAGGATGCTAAGGCAGGAGAATCACTGGAACTCAGGATTTTGAGGTTGTGGTAAGCTTATTATGATTGTGCCACTGTACTCCAACCTGGGTAACAGAGTAAGACCTTATCACAACAATCACAACAACAACAACAACACCACCTAAACCTGAAATTCTCAGAGTAACACGTTACTGATTGAGGGTAATTTCAGAAATTTCAGATTGAATTAAAGGCATTAAGCGTAATTTTAGAACCTAAGTGCACCATGATTTTAAAAAGTAACTAAAAGCCAGGTGTGGTGGCTTACACCTGTAATCCCAGCACTTTGGGCAGCTGAGGTGGGCGGATCACGAGGTCAAGAGCTCGACACCATCCTGGCCAACATGGTGAAACCCCATCTCTACTAAAATAACAAAAAAAATTAGGTGGGCGTGGTGGCATACGCCTGTAGTCCCAGCTACTCGGGAGGCTGAGGCAGGAGAATCGCTTGAACCAGGGAGGCGGAGGTTGCAGTGAGCTGAGATCACGCCACTGCACTCCAGCCTGGCAACAGAGCAAGACTCCATCTCAAAATAATAAATAAAAAATAAATAAATAAAATAACTAAAACAAGTAGTTCACAGATTTTAGTGGGCACCATAATCAGACAGAGTGCTCATTAAAACAGACTGCTAGGCCTCTTCCAGCATTTCTGATATCAGTGGGTCTGTAGTGACATCCGAGAATCTGTATTTCTTCTTTTTTTGAGACGGAGTCTTGCTCTGTTGCCCAGGCTGGAGTGCAGTGGCACCATCTATGCTTACTGCAAGCTTTGCCTCCCAGGTTCACGCCATTCTCCTGCCTCAGTCTCCCAAGTAGCTGGGACTACAGGCATCTGTCACCACACCCAGCTAATTTTTTGTTTTTTTAGTAGAGATGGGGTTTCACCATGTTAGCCAGGATGGTCTCGATCTCCTGACCTCGTGATCCGACTGCCTCGGCCTCCCAAAGTGCTGGGATTACAGGCGTCAGCCATCGCGCCCGGCCTCCGAGAATCTATATTTCTTATTTATTTTTAGTTTTTTAAAAGATGGAGTATCACTCTGTCAACCAGGCTGGAGTGCCATGATCTGATCATAGCTCATTGCAGCCTTCAACTCCCAGGCTCAAGTGATCCTCCCACCTCAGCCTCCTGCATAACTGGGATTACAGGTGTGAGCCACCATACCTGGCTGAGAATCTGTCATTCTAACAAGTTCTCAGGTGATGTTGATGCTATTTTGGGACCATACTTTGAGAACTAGTGAAATAGACATTCGAACAAAGATTAATCCAGCCCGTACTACACTATCCAATGCTTAAAGCTTGATGTGCAATTCCTTTTCTAGAATATATACTATACAAATTGAGGTTCATTATACTATACACTATATACACAAACTGGTTAGTATAGTTGGATGGGTTCTTTAGATACATACTTTACACAGAGTGCAAAGACTGGGGGAACAGATCAACCAACAACTTCCCCTACCATAAGATAAAGCAGAGTTCCTAGTTGAAAGCCAAAATTCAAAGTGCCTTTGTGACCAAGGGTGGTTGTTATTGTCTTGTTTGGATAACTGACATTCAGTTCCTAACTAACACAGTTGGAATTTTTGCGTACCTTATGCTGCAGTCTACTTAGCTTCTTCCGTCCCTGCTATTTTTGGTTTCCCCTTTTATTCTTAGCCACATTCTAATTTCTAGAAAATATTTCCTTAGGTCTCTATTTATTTAAAAACTCAAACATATTCTTCCATTGAAAACCACCTAATAAGCTGATAGAAAAAACCCTGTTAATCTGGTACCCAAACATCTAGTTTCTGCTTATTTCCAGTGACTTGAAACTAAATATCCAGTTCTTTTTGGTCATCTCTTGCTATCATAGTTCTTCTATAACAAATCTGTTATAATTAAAACCAACTGATCCTTACTGTACTTAAAAGTTGAATTGTCTTTCCACTGATTTCTACTTAGGACTTACTCCAACTATAATATGACATGACTTTTACCTAATGGATTTATACTGTCCCTCTAGCAAATTAAAATTTTCTATTAAGTACTTATAAATAGTCATTGCTTATTAATTACTTCTGGAATTTTGTGGGGAAATGTATTAAGTTTGCCAGAAAATGCCTTTTGGAAAAATAATTATGATTTCAGGTTTATTTCAATATATAGAACAGTCTACCACAGTTCAAAAAAAAGTAGAAATATGATTTTTAAACACCTTTAACATCTTTTAGTACCTCAAGCTATAATTCGTCATAGCAGAAAAAATTTTCAATGCCCAGTCCTCTTATCTGCAGACAGCTAGAGACTCCATTTTCCTTCAAGTTGGTGGTCTGCAATGTCTGCTCGAGGGCTTTATGGTCCTTCCAAATTCCATGTTAGTATTATACATTAAATTTACTCTCTAAATTATTTGTACAAAGGGGTTCTAAGGCTAAAAAGTTTGAAAGTTATATTTAAATTACATTTGTTCCACTGATTCCAACTTAAAATGGCAAAGGATTCTTTCAGTGGAAAGATGTCCATTTTAAATTAGTTGTAATATATTCAATACAATTTATAATAGAAGAAAAAAATCGGAGGGGGGCACATAGTGTCTCTAATATGTGTGGAGTGAGGACTAAGAATCCTTTGAATTAGAACTATGCTATGTTCTAGTTCTAGGAAAATATACTATTAAACCATATGCAAATGAGTATTTTTAAAGATCAAAATTTCACTTTGCTCACCTGATCCACTCTAAGTACAGTGACTGCAGCATTAGTAGCGAGTTTGATAGCCCAATATTTTCCCAGGTAAGTATCTAGAATACCAGCTTCCAACATGTCCTTTACAGCAGGGACTTCAGCCTGTCAAAACACAATTTTCATCCTTTCATTTAAAATCCTCTTATGTGAAAATGTTTATACCTAACAAAAAGCCCCACACAGCTCCTTAAATAGTAATGGAAAGTAACCAAGCACAGTACTACCTTACAGAGTCATCCTTTAGTATGTGAGGATTGGTTCCAGGACCCCCAAGGATGCCAAAATCCGTGGATGCTCAAATCCATTATATAAAATGGCATGGTGTTTGGATATCTATGCGCATCCTCGTATATACTTTAAATCGTCTCCAGATTAAATTATATAACAGTGTAAATAGTTGTTATACTGTATTTTTAAATGTCTTTAGTTTTTCCAAATATTTCAATCTGTGGTTGGTTGAATCAGTGGCTACAGAACTGGGCTGATTACACACTACAGAACAGAAGGCTATCAATAAAACAAGGAAAATGAAACATTCCTCCATCAGACAGACTATGTAAAAACTAAGAAAATAATCTGCTCCCAAATCAGAACACTGTTTCTCATTGATACTTCTTTTAAACTCACACTATTTTTAGGTTGTGCATTCCCCAAATAAAGCAATTTTAAGTTCAGTGTTTTTTCAAATACCTCAATATCTAATCCAACATTTTTATTTCCTTCTTGATGTACTGCATAAAGTTTAGAGATTACTTCATTGGCCTTAACTCCAGAGTTTTCTGCCAGTGCGCGGGGAATAGCTTCAAATGCCTCAGCAAACTTCTTAATAGCGTACTGTTCAAGTCCAGGACATGTCTACAACAAAAATGTGTTAATTATTGCCTTTTATTCAAGCAATGGAAAGAAAGTCAATTTATACAGAAAAAGCTATACCTCTCCGTATGATGTGATCTGTTTGGCTAATTCAATTTCTGTTGCTCCACCTCCAGGTACAAGACGTTTATCCTATACGTAGTCCCCCCGCCAAAAAAAAAAAAAAAAACACAAAAATTCACTAAAAAGCAGTTCGCAGTTTTCTCATCTTTTCACATTCCAGTAACCCCACCAAACAGGAGTTTTTATCAGTCATTGTTACTCAAACACATATTACAAATTTGGTAAAAGTGAGTGGGTGGGGCAGATTTTCTTAGTGCACAGTGTCTGGTGTATGAAAAGGACCAAAGTGAAGAATGGGAATAGCACCGTATCATTTTTGCATATCCACAGATATAGCACTAAGAACTGCTTTAGCAACTCAAAGTACATTACAATGGAAAACTACCATAAACAATGTTTTTAAAAGCTCTGCGTTGCTGTTAACTCCTCTGTGCAATCCTTTTTGGAAACTATCATATTCAATAGCAGTGGACACTTAGGGAAAAACAAAAACAGGTGCTTCATTGCATATAAACCACTCATTCTGAAGTACTCGTGATGTGCATGAGTCTGCCAACTGTACTTTTAAGAACATACAAAGTACTCAGACCTTACAAACTACTAAGATTATTGCTAATACTGACCCTTGTAAGAACTTTGAAAGTATTAACACCATCGTCTACTGCCCTTTCTATGTCATCCATCAGATTGTCTGTAGAGCCTCGAAGTACTATGGTAGAAATGGCGCCATCTTCCTTTTCTATCAAAAAATTAAATATATTTGGTGATTAAATACAAGAAGCTAAAGCCCTGCACTTAAACATGTTTTACCATTCCTACATACCATGCTTAAAAACCACCACCTGAGTATCTCCAACTTCAGAGAGGCAAACACTGTCACAATGTCCCATTTCTTCAAGGACAGGAGGTGTCTGTAAGAAAGTGACTGTTGTAATAAAAATTCCATCATGTTCAACTATCTTTTAGTGTTTTCCAAAATACATACCAATCTAGGAAGAGCTGTAGCACCAACCGTTTTACACAGTCTTCGGAGATCCCATTTTGAGTTTAGCCTTTAAAAAACACAAAGACCTTAATAAAAGTTTTAATCCATTTGATTTTAATTTCAGATAGCATATAAACTTCAAATTAAAGAGGAACCTGTATACCAGCCCCCACGTCACATTCTTTTGACAGTGGATTTTAACTCAGAACACGTCTGGATTGCAATGAACACTGAGGCCAGGAAGCTGCTGACTCTGAGTGAATCCAGCTGGCCAGTAGTACCACATCTTAAGTCTATGTTGTATGGCATTGTTCTAGAATTGCTCAAATGGAAATCACTTTAGGATGCCAGTGGTTTATAGTTCTAAAACACCAGGGAAACCCTTACAAAACTCAACAGCATATAGAAAATTTTTGCTTTACTTTGTGCAATCAATGTTCTGTGAACAGGAGTGATTTATTTTGCACATTTTATTAGGTACTAGGGATGGTGGTAGGTAGAAATGGGTAAGTTGTCTAGTGTGCACCATAAATGTGTTCATGGATTAAAAGGGATCTTCCTAACTCCACACTCTGATGGGCAATGCACCAAGCTTGTGTCTAGTCTCTTGGACAAGTTGTTCCTTTTGCCTGGAATGCTTTTCCCTCTTCAGATATCTGGTAATTGGTTCTTCAAGCTCTCAGCTTTAATTTATGTTTTCTCAGAGGTGTTTCCTGACCCCTCCCCAAACTAAGTCCTTCTGCTATTTGACCTAATACCTATACTTTTCCTTTATTAACAGTCATCGTGGTCTATTTTGTTTAGTGTTTTCACCACTGAAAAAAATATTTATGACATAGGTAAAAAGAATTCGGCTTTCTCTTACCTCACTAACATGATATTATATTTGTTTGCATAATGAAGAGCCATGTCTGCCACTTTGCCACCTGTTACTACGACATTTGCACCAGTATCAGCAATAGCTTTGACTTGTGCATCCATGAGATTTTCTTCTCCCTTACTAAAATTCATCAATTCTTCAGCAGTCTTTATCAACACTGTTCCCTTAGTTTCTGTTATCGTGCCATCAAAAGGACAAGAGTACACTGCTATTTTTGCATCTTTGACAGATGTTACATCACCTTCGGTTTCCTTCTTACCCCTTTAAAATCATTTCTACTACACCTGTGTTCAAAGTTGTCAGATAGACATTTATGATAAATAAGTTTTAAGGTTTGGTTAAAAAAAAATGAAGATAAGTGGTGGCATATATTGATGAATCAGCAGAAATACATCAAATGCTCTCTAGAACTCTTCTAGATGCAATCTGCTCTTGTGCTAAGTACTCTAGGTGGTAAAAGTACCTTCTAGTTAATTTTTTTTGGGACCGAGTCCCTTACTCTGTCGCCATACCTTGTGTGCAGTGGCAGGATCTCGGCTCACGTACCCTCTGCACTACCTGGTTTCAAGCGAGTTTCCTGCCTCAGCCTCACGAGTAGCTGCTACAGGCAAGCACCACCAATGCCTAGCTAAATTTTTGTATTTTTAGTAGAGACAGGGTTCCCACACCATGTTGTGGGCCAGGAATGGTCTCAATCTCCTGACCTCGTGATTTGCCTGCCTTGGCCTGTGCTGGGATTATAGGCGTGAGCCACCCCAGTGCCCAGCTGAGAAGTCACTTTTATTTTAAAATAGTCAGGTAGGTGGTCTGGTTTTGTCCTTCTACAAAGCGTTAAACTAGTATAGCAAAACAAGCATTGTGGTCTCTCAACACGTTTTTCTAAAATGCATGGCCTCATCAGAGCAGAAGAGGCGACTAGAGTAGAAGTGGCTCTATTCCGCGTACACAAAAACACAACAAAAGAGCTAATGGAACCATCCGGCCAACATGGTGAAACTGCCTTTCTACTCGAGAGTACGGAAAGTTAGCCAGAGATCACTTGAACCCCCGCGCGCCGGCGCTCCGCTCGGGTCACTTCTCCCAGCTGCGCGCGTGAGCCAAAGCAAGACTCTGTCTCAACAAAAAAAAAAAACAACAAAAACAAAAAAAAAAGAATAAAATCAAAATAACAATGTGGCAAAACCGACCACAGCAGCATCTGCTACAAAC